AAGATCTCCTAACCGAAGATCACATGATCACAAACGGAAATCACATTGTGTGTGGGTGTGTATGTATGTATATATATATATGTGATTTATTATTATTATTAGGGCTTCATGTTAATGTTAATTTATTCATTTTCCACTTGCTCTTAAAATCCCCTGTACTTAAAATGAATAAATCAGCCTATGTAACATATGTAAAACTTTAATAATTGACTTAAGAAATACAGTTCTTTATTTATAAAAAAATAATTTCTGTGAAATCAAGTAATTAAGTTAATTCTGTAAAAGTAGTTATACCATTATAATCTTGCCTGCTGAAAAAAAAACACAATAGAACCCCTCCCAAAACACAATAAAAAATGTAATGGATTTCAGGGTTATAATGGGAATTTGTTTGGTTTTAATGTAAACTATAATGGTGTCTATTTGATGGATTCTATTGGTGGGATGTAATCTGGCAGATGGCAATCAATAGAACAACAGTAATTCCTATTGGAATAATGCCCAAAACAAAAAGGAATTTTGTAATGGTTTAATGGAAACTATAAGAATTTCTGTGATGGTTTCTATAGTTTTTTTCAGCAGGGTAATGATACCCATACTGTGCTGCACATTATTGACAATATTGAGCTGAAGCTTGACTTTGCAAATCAAATCGCAATCGCAATATCTGTCAAAAAAATTAGCAATTTGATATTTTCCCCCAAATCGCACAGCCCTATATTCCAGTGCGCTAATCTCAAAATGGCCAAATATTGTGCGATTAATCGGCGTGGCTGAAATATAGGTCACTGATCTGTTTACAATTTGAGATAATTTGTGTAGCGAAGAGCTACCTGATACTGTTAGGGCAAGCTTGAATCGCAGTGAACCAGGTGTGTCGGTCAGAACACCACAGAGGGAAGTATTAGTTTGAACAGGTTTATTTTCACAGATGCGATATGATCAACTCAGAGGGGGAGTCAGCCTTTACATGCACATCAGTCTGTGTCTACTAACAAGATGTGGACCAAGAAGCTTGAGGACTGCAGTGGACACAAAGTGGTTTAGGTGATAGAGACGAGGATGGACTCTGGGACCACTGCAAATGAGCATACACAGGTTGCTGAGAATGTTATGCAGAAAACCCGATCACTAGCAGCGGCGGAGGCAGTCTGCCGATCTTCGAGTAATGAACAGTGTCTCTTCCGGCTATCCGTGTTACATAATAAAAGTCCCCATTCTGGCTAGCGCGATAGCGCTCTGACACGCTCTCTATCGCCTTCTGCACAATTTAAATTGCATGATTTCCCTCATGAGAATAATCTGGCCTTGCTGTTTGTACTGTCTTTCTAGTATTTAGTTTCCTCTAACCATGTTGTTTGCCAGTTGCAAAGGAGTCAGATCTTGTTGGAAAGAATGCCCTTGTTGGAAAAAGTATGCTTGGATTAATGGGCATTTCTGAGTTGAAATATTGTAGACGCTCTGTAGACTTGTATACATTAATCAGATTAATGACTGCGAGTTTCCAGCAAGGATTATAAGAGCTTCAACCCCTCCTTCCCATGGCCTCATTCTGCTCAGACAGACGGAAGCCATTGTTTTCATGGGTCTGTGGTAACAGGTTATCCAGTATTTGTCATTTATTTGCTGACTTGTCCCATGAGTCAAAGGTTTCTTCTTCTTGTGTATCACTGGGGCTGACATGCATTTACGCTGTTTGCGAAGGTGTGCGTGTCAGAGAGATCTGTGTGTGAGAGTCATACAAACAAATGCCACATGCCACAAGTTATATTTTTAAAGCCACATCTAACAGCTAGAGTAAATGCCCCTCTATTCGGTTCCAAATATTCTGACATGTACTGCACAACTTTTGTTAAAGGACGTTGGCACATTGGCCAGATTTGTTTCCAATGTCGCCTTATCGGTGTAGTTTACCCCAAAACGAACACTTTTACTCGCCTTAGTTTTGCTTCGGATCTGTTTGATTGTCTTTTTTTACACGTAAAACGGAGATGTTTTGCAGAATGGTTATGTTGGTCTCTTTCCACACAATGAAAAAGTTAATGGGAAGGATACTGTCAAGCAAAAAAAAAAAAAAGAAGAAGAAAAAAGCACCCTAAAAGTAGTTTGTGCAATATTTCATATCTCCTGGAGCTTTGGTGCAGTCACCCACAGAAATTATTACTATAAATTAGGGCTGCACGATAAATCGCATGCGATATTTAACGCGCATCTTGTCAGAAAAGCCGGTTCTGTAATCAGCGGTAAATCTCCATCACGTGCGTGCTTTCACATTGAGCAACAGAGCCGTTGTTCACTGAGAGCTGCGCAAAACCACGTTCATATTCGCGTGATTTTTGGCGCAGCTCGTCAGTGAACAATGGCTCTGTGTAGTTAATGCTGCTCAATGTGAAAGCACGCACGTGATGGAGATTTACCGCTGATTACAGAACCGGCTTTTCTGACAAGATGCGCGTTAAATATCGCATGCGATTTATCGTGCAGCCCTAATTTAAATGGTTAACCCTTGGTCATTTTAAACTTTAGTTAAACGGAATGCTGGGTTATCTTGCTTCGCATTTCACACTGCTCATAATTTACACTGGGTTTACAATTAATCATGGGTATTCATACGCTGATGTTTCACACTATACTAAAGCTAGGCGATATAGCAAAAAAATTAAATCTTGAATTTTTTTTTGACCGAATCTCGATTTTTTTATGATTTTAAAATAGTCAACTTGAAGATGTAACTACAACATGATTCAAGTAACGTTTTCTTTATTAACCCTCTAGTTAAAGAAAATTCTATTCCAAGTGCACCACACTTGAAGTTGTCAACATGATGTAAATGTTAAACAAATCACTTGATAAATATCGTTGCAGAAAAGTTGCATGAACTACAACTAATTGTAGCCTACAAACTTGTCTTATACATAGTATATGTTCAGAAATAATACAAGGAAAATGCTTAAAAAAATTCTCAAAAGTCAAGGTAATTCAAATTCAAAATGACTGAAGGTAGTCCAGTAGACTACACTGTAAAAAAAAATAAAAAAATAAAAAAGCTCAGACAGAATCATAATTTCTATTAATTTTCCACTGATTTAATGATGAGCATTAGCAGCTTCCAGCGCTGTCTGCCTGTGTTCTCTCTTCCATGATCGCTGCTCTGACTGTGTGTTTTGTTTTTTGTGCAAATGATTTTCTATTCCCACTAATCTCATTAATACTTTCAGTTCAAATTCTTACATTTGATCTATAAATTCAATTATAATAATGTGATTATCGATACGCTATCAAATTACATCATTTACACTGTAAAATACAACTGCATTAAATAATTATTATGAGATTATTTTAAATATTTTTGAATATACAAACAAGAAATGATGGTGGAAATTATACTTTTCACGAAATTAAAACGCCAGTAGGTGCCAGTAGTGAGCGTTTAATGAGTGAGTCATTGAGTCGTTCATTCAAACGATTCGTTCAAACGGCAGATTCATCAGATGTTTATGCATGGGCTAATGAAACTTTGACTCAACAGATTCGTTCAAAACACAGAATAAAGGCGGAATGAATTGGCTGGTTGCTGTGAGATGCTGAGTTTCTTAGTGTTGCGTGTTTTGATTTCTCTTGGAGAGAGAATAATACTTGCGTTTTGGTGTTTACATGGTTATTTTTGGTTACTGATGTTTTAATCATGTTACTTGTCTGACGTTAATGAAGCTTTAATGACTAGCCCTGGAGTCTATGTGCCGGGGCTCAGCCCCAGATGGCCCGGCCCAATTTAAACCCTGGTCTTATGTAGCATGATGCTACAGTGTGCATGAATGGTCACGTAACACGTGCTTTCGGTCTTGTAGAATGAACGGACATCTGCATATGATTGGAACTCTACGCAGCTCCCGCGCTACTGTCCACTGGAAATGAATGACTTTCGGTCTGTCATTTGTCGGAGATAGTGAAAAGCCGGCTTGAAACGCAGTGGAAATGTCAGTATGATGAGGATCGTTTTCATTTTAAAACAAAAACGCACCAGTGTAAATGTAGCCTTACAGCTATGGGGGCTGGGACGCATTCACACTAAATCCTCACGTGTGAGCCACATTTCTGAGTGTGGCGCGTGACGCGGACCGACTATGCAGACCTATTAGTGTATTACAGTACCACGAGCAGACTGCTCCGTACGTTTTCGCATCGCTCTCGCAGATGTCAAACACTGATCGATCTGCGCCACACCGCTTCTAATTGAAAACACCTAGTGCTGCAGGCTTATTGGCTCACTGACGTTGATGAGATTAACCCCTTAGGTATCGAAATTTGGTACCGAACGACGAGACGTTTTTCGATACTCGATGGTATCGAGGCAATTTGGTTGGTGCCTAAAAAGTATCGAACTCGATACCCAGCCCGATACTCAACCCTGAAATTAAAATTGTCATAATTTATTCACCCTCATGTTGTTCCAAACTTTTTTTCTTAATTACTTAACTTTAAAACTCACTAAACCCCCCTTTTTTTTTTTTTAACCAACAGCGTTATTTCTGTCATCTTATAGTCCTGTCTTCATTCCTATTAAATTTTGGTTGTTAGGTGTTTGACTAATGAAATGGTCTGTTTTGTAGTTATCTAACCTGACAGACTTTAGCACTGAAATATCTAATGGCGAAAATATCTGAACAGAGTCAATGACCTATGAAATGTAAACTTCCCCGAAAGCAGGGCCCCTGCCTTTCTGTTAGTCTCTGAGCAACTTGTGCAACAAATTGTGAAAGGCATTTATACAAATGGTAGTTCATTGCATCTGTCTTCTCTTGGGGAAGGGGGTTGCGCGGTTTAAGCAGTTGCACTAGATTACAAATAACATACATGATCGGCCATCTGCTGCTGTCTATTTTTCATCTGGGCTGATTGGTACAGTTTTCTATACCATGAGAATTTAAATTGTTGTGGAAATGCAATGGATTGTACATTTTAAACCGAAACCTTTTCAAGGATTTGGACGTGTTCTAGGACAAAGAAATTAAGTAAGTCCAAACAACGCTAGGTAGATTTTATCATTGTTAGTCATGGGTAATGTTAATTTAATCAGGTTTTGAATTTCACAAAGTTTTTGTCCTTTTTCTCTCCAAAAGCTAGTTTCGTATCCTAGTTCTCAAGGTTTCTTTGTCAACAGCAGGAATCTGTTAATGCGTTTGTGCCATGTTGTTCTGTACAGTGTTTCAAAGGTCAGCAAGCAAGCATCACTATTACTTTTGCTCATACTTGGGTATCAGAGAATGTTAAAATCCCTTACTTTTAAATATTAAACTTTCCTGCATAACTCATTCCGCACCATTAATGAACAATGAAAGCCAACTTAAATGGTATGGTTTATTAAAACAGGTGAAAAATCCCACAGATTAACAAAGAATGAGGGATCCAAGCCATGTCTGGGGACCATATCTTTAAAAATTTGGGACTGGATCCAGTAAGCAAACACATTTACAACTATGCTTTTAGGAAATATTATTCTGGGTATGTATCACATATATAGTAGGAGTAGGGATACACGATATTGGATTTTTGCCAGTATCCGATATGCCGATATTTTTCAACTCATTTTGGCCGATAGGCAATGCAGATACCAATATATTTCCTTTTGTTTGGAAACAACACCAAGTCTCTCCTATGTATAAACTAATTATTTTAAATTGTGGATAGTTTTTAACCAAAATTACTTAGTATTACTTGTTAGAATTAAATAAACAATTAAGTTATTTTATAATGAGTTCACTGAAAGCTAAAAAAAAATTAAATCAACTATAAGTCAATCACTGCATTTCTTTCTTTTTTTTCAGACAAATGCAGTGGTAACCTTAACATTTTATTTGGAGATTTAACATTTGTAGATGGTCTAAAGCAAAAGAGTTATAAAAATTCAGAAAATATTTTGGAGCTCCTTGTATTTAAGTTTCATAATAAAAAAAAAAAAAACATATTACACATTAATGAATAATGTATGTAAATTTAATCTGTATATAAATTTATTTAATTTACAAGTATCATGTTTATGATTTTTATTCATGTAAGCTATAGCTTCTGACAAATCTTACTCGTGATTTTATTAAATCAATTACTGTTTTATTTAATCAGAAACATCTTAATTTTGTGCATTTTACTTTCATTTTATTACAGGTAGGCCAACAGCGCCCCCTAAGTAAATAAAATGCCTTACTGGATGGGCATTAGGACCGGGGGCAGGCTATTGTTGCTGCTAATGCACACGCTAGTGACTGTTGACTCTATCGCAGGACCAAGGTTATTTTCGTAAACGAAAACTGAAACTAAGACTAAAACTATTGGTCAAAAAACATTTTCGTAAACTGAAATAAAATAAAAATGTCAAAATAAATGAAAAACTAAAACTAAACGAAACTAACAACAATAACTGAAAAACTAACAAAAATAAAATAATAATTAGCAAAAATAAATAATCGTGTTCGTGATTTAATAAGCTCTCATTCTGTGCCAGAAAATCTGACCTGTGGTTGTTTAGGGAAATACCTGTAGATGGCACTTCATGCACGTAAGCTGAATCCTAAGCGACTATTCACAGAGAATGTGTTTTTGCATTTAAAAAACAAGACGCAGGATATGAAATGGGAAATAACTATAAAATATGAAATGGGAAATAACTATAAAATATGAAATGGGAAATAATAGTAATGCAGACCTTACAGCGCACGGACGTTTAATTGTGTGTTTGACATGCGAGAACAACATGAGAGTGAGTTAACAGACACAGAATTAAAATTTTTGGATGAGCTGACTTTAGTGATTAGTCATTTTGTCACGCTTTACGATTACTATGGCAACGTCCGCCACGAGTCCATGACACAAGCACTGCTTTGACTGTACAAAACGCATCCAAAATGAGAGAAAGCGGCAGCTGCACAGTGATTTCACCGCTTGCCGTGTCCTGTGTAGCTTTAGAACTGGGACTGATTGCGTTGCTCATCGCGCTGGAGCGGCTCTCCAAAGTAAAGTACAAACATCATTTTAATCACCATATCGCATTTAGTTTTGAGTAGTATGAGGTTTCAAAGCATTTTCATTATGAAAACTACTACTACTAGTTTTCATGAAAACTACCTTATGTGCATTTTGCTTTTGTATTTGAGTGTAAATATTATATCTGAAAATAAATAGCATTGAATATAATACTTTTGTTGTTAAGTTTAACCTCTAATATTATGTCCCAAATGAGAGGGCTCCCTGCGTAGTTTGCAATCATTGGTTTGGGGGGGAAAAAACCATGCTGAAAACTATCGGTATCGGCAGATATCATTCTGAATAATTGGTTTTTGGCATTTAGTATCAGTGAATAATAACACATTTTACATCAATACACTTGGACTTTTTTTATATGCATGTTTATTAAAAAAAAGTATGTTAATTTATTTACAGAAGTATTGTCATCATACCTCAAACTTCTCTAAAATGTAGGCTAGTTACTGAAGTTTCGTCTGTGTTTGATGACGTTGCTGGGTGTTCTGAATGAGCACATTTTGTCTAGTGAAGTGAATGTGCTTAGGGAATAGGGAGCAGACACTGTGTAGAGATCCTGTCAATCAGAACGCAGCTCGGTTCATGGAGCTCTCTCCTAACAAGCTGATGATCTCAGTCATCTGAATTGGGAACCACTGCTGTAGCGACTGCCTAGCAACACACTAACAACCAGCAACTGCATTGTACCAGCCTAGCATCGTAGTAGTCAGAACATTTTAAAAATGCATAGCAAGCATGTACAGTAGCAACACCTTAGCAACCACAAAACGACACTCTAGATTGTGGTTTTGCAAGAGGAAACCGCACATTTATTTCCCTGGATAATGTAATAATCTAAATGGAGCTGTTGATTTTTGCTGTGGACATGCACTGTAGTTTGCTGTTTGTCATGCAGGCTGTCCTACACATCTTTTGCGCAGTAGATCTGAGAGCCGCCTGCTCTCTCCACCCCCCCCCCCCCCCCCCCCCCCCCAGCGTTTTACTGACACAGTCATGTAATTACAGCCGCCGTGGTCATGCCTCTCCCCAGACATGCTCGTTTTTAGCTCGGATCTCCGTGGGAGTGCTGAGCTTTTTTACATCGACGTGATGGACCAAACCTGAAGCACCACTGTACAGCACAATAGAGCCCTGCACAATTAAAAGGGGGCCGCACTCCTCCCTGCTTGTATTTCAATTTTACAGCTCTAGGATCTCTGTGAACACGTCCATTGTGTTGATTTACCAGTTGCTAGGCTCTTTGGGCCACGACTCGGACAGTGGGTATTTTACACGTCAAGTCGGAGCCTAAAGGTCCTCTGTTCCATCTGCTCTCAGCTGTTGGAAATTGTTGCTTGCTAATGGAAGAGGGTTATTAGGATCTGCTGTGTTCTTGCTCCAGCTCGGCGGGATCTCTGGGGCTTTGATTATTTCTGGAGTTCAACATGACACAGCTGCTTGCTGCTGTACTTATAGTGTGACATGCTCCATGGGAATGGGTGTGTCTGGCTTCTTCGATGCCTTGTGCACTTACTGTGCGTTCACACCGCCGCCGTCGAGAGCGTCAAAAATCGCTCTGGCTGCCCTGCCAACAACGCTGTAGAAAGATTTGTGGACGCTCTGACGTATAGATCGAATCATTTTTTATTACTACTTATCTTGTATTTAAAGGGGACGCAAAGCAAACACGCTTGTTGATCTTGTGCAGACTGACCACAATGAGGGTAACGTTATAAGTTAACCTCATTAAATATTGTTGTGGACGAAGTATTAAGATCCTTTACCTCATAATGTATAAAGCACTAATACCACACTGTAAAAATACTCTGATACAAGTAAAAGTCCTGCATTGAAAATGTTAAGCAAGTATAATCAGGTATAAACATTGGGACTATTATACTATTATTTATGTCATTAGATTATTATTACTATAACGTTAATGCACATCAGCAACTCACCAGGAACACCAACAATCTCAGACACCTTGGTCCACGCATCATTTTTTAATATTATTTATGTCCCTGTACGCAAACAGGGACACATCATAGATTATTGGGAAACCCGCCACAGCAATAGTCAACCTCTCCTCCATTTTGCTTGGGAACTAATATGGTCAGAACCAAAGTTTACAGAACTGCGTTCTCTGGAATCCTCTCAAGCGGTGGACTTCTGGTCATAGCTCATTACCATAAAGTTGACCTGATTTCAACTCTCCTCGATGCCCTCAACGTCCAAGTCGCGCCGCGCCGCTGCTCGACGCCAGCCCACATTGAAAATGAATGACTTCCGGCCACTTTGACGCTCTCGACGGCGGCTGTGTGAACGCACAGTTACTGTATTGTTGGGAATGCTTTGTGCTTTTTTCTCTTGCATTTCCTTGTAGTTTTCACATAGTTGTATGTATATCAAGTAATAGCAACACCTTGCTTTCCCAATATGTGGTACAGAGTGATATATGGACTAAATACTGAATCCTGGCCTTTTTTTATAAGTAGTATGTAGGGGTATACATTTTGCACAAAATGACAGTTCGGTAAGCACCTCAGATTCCTCAGAAGTCATGGTCATGTTTTTGGTAGAACTAGGGAAAAACAAAAAGTAAAACTGCTTTTTTCTTTTTTATTAAAGGGGTCATGACATGTATTTTGTATTATTTTAATATGTTCCATCAGGTTCACTTAAAATGTTAATGAAGTTTTTTTGCACACAAAAAAAAAAAATGCAGAAAAATGATTATTCAACCCTCATTCTGACCCTCTGTCTGAAATGATCAATTTTTAAGGGCTTTAAAGCTGCAGTATGTAATAATGACAGCTAGCGGTTGAAATGGGTACTGCAGTCCAAAAGAGAAAGTTGTTTCTCCCACCTCCTCATCCTCAGACTCAATGTTCACATGGGTTGCCAGATTGAGGACTCGCAACAGGAACAAGCGCAACTGAAAAGCCTAACACTGTAAAGCCGCGGTCACACTAGACTTTTTGTTCCATTGACTTCTATT